ATCCTCTACCTAACAATTACCCTCTCTTTGCAACCATGTGTCTGTTTGCCTTGCTAATGTCACTCTTCTCCCATTTATCCTCAGTCCACAACATAGCAGAGTCCTCACCCTTCCAAGCAACCACTCAGAAAAAGATTATCAATGAAGATTTGATACTGCCATTTTGGACTATTTTTTTGTTGTTGTTAAAAAAAAAAAAAAACCCTATTCAAAGATTGAAAACTAGTGTTAGCAAAACAAACACAGTCTACAGATATAATTTTCTTGAGCCAAATACTGTTTTTTAGAAAAATTTAAATTAGGTGATAACATTAAAAACTGGGAATTGGGGGGGTTAACAATTCTTTAGTTTTGGTGTCTTCTGAAAAAGAAAAAAAGGGGTGAGGGGAGCTCTTAAATTCTAATGCGGTAACAACTGGCTAGAGCTGAGCAGCTGCTGGACTCTCAACTAATTCCTCATACTTTGTACTTTTTAAGTTGATTTCTTAAAAGGTGGCCTTTAGCCATTAGGTTGCCTGCCTGGAGGAAGTTTCTAATAGGTCCCTAGGTCCCTTGGGTCTGGGAGAGTTCCGCCTCTGCTCCTTTCTGGTTCCACATGCAGCAGGGATGACAAGGATTCTGCCCTTGGCCACTATTATTCTTTCTCCAAATACTCTTCCCAGGTAAGCTTACCCATTTTAATGATTTTTACCACCATCTCTATGTTGATATCTCCCACATAAACATCATTCAACAATTTTGAGGCAGAAAATGAATGAGGACGCTAAGGCATCAAAAGGCTTGTTTATATGCCCAGTGTCATAAAACTTCTATGTTTATACTCTACTTTGCTCCAAATAAGGTATCAAGCAGTATACAAAGATAAGTATCACATGTTAAGGTTAAAATCTAAGCATGAACCATCAATAGGAAAATAATAGTATAATAGTAGGGAGCACATGATGAAACCACACTCCTGCCTCTCCCTTTCTATCTGTTCTCATCTTTATTCCCCCACTCAATTCCTCCTCCACCCATCCTACCACTCTATTATATTTTATTCCTTTTCTCATCATCTTAGCCAAGTGTTATCTTTTAAATGACATGCTTACCTCTTCCCATCTTTCCTGCTCAGTTTAAGAGCAGTCACTGCGTAAAAAAAGGGCTCAGAAGCAAAGGCCTGAAACAGCATGAGCAAACCACAGATGCAT